ATCAGATTTAAAAAGTCACATGTAAACACGTCAATCGGAATGAATTGGCCAAAACCGATTAAAATTTCATTCAGATCGTAAGGGGTGGTTTAAACCTTTTCTAATCCGACGGAGAGGACGTGTAAACACTTCATCGGATTGAAAATGAAACCAGATAGTTCTGCGCATGTGCAATGACGTACAAATCACGTAATGATGTATGACGCACGGCTGTCAGCGGTATTGAGCCTCACCAGGTGTCATGTACCCCTCCACCATTGAGCATAGTGTCATAAATGACTGTCGTGTCATCCTAAAATTCTCCTTCCACTCCTCGTCTGTGAAGTGGCGCAAGACGACGTTGTCCCACCAGTCCTTGCTTCGGACCCTCATCCACAGATGCCTTGTTCTGGGCTCGGGAAGGGGCATTTTAATTGCTTGATAAATACATGCAGTACTGCACAAAACATCACGCGCTCGTCGTCTTCTAATTAGCAGCTGAAATAGGCAAATGTTAAGTCTGCTTTTTAAAACGAAAAAAAGAAGCAATGGCAAGAGAGTGGCTGCTAGTATCTGCATGTTGGAACGGCGGGAAACATGTATTCGTGCACTGTGTGCATGTCAGAAGATCAAATCCGATTCTGTCATGTAAATGCGCATATCAACCTGATTACTTTATTCAGCGTTCTTGTAAACACTGCGATCGGATTAATCAATCTGATTGATTTCATTCCGATTGAAACAAAAAGTGTCCATGTAAACGTGACTACTGATAGGCTGCATCAATCTACAGTCTGGGCTAGAAAGAAATCAGTCCCAGGCTCGCTTGTTCTTACCATTCTGTGTATTTTTCTTACAGCCGTTGATAGTGCTTTTGCACTGGGTTCCACAAAAGTCCAAAATAATCTGCCTTAAAACATTTGTTAACAGCAAATGATCTGATGTGGTTCTCAAAAAATGAAACGTTATATTGATGGGGTGCTTAGCAGCAAGCAGAGAGATGGGTAGTACAGTGGCACTTGGGAACAAAATGTGAAAGTAGAGATGTAATTTTGGAAATATGGAAATGTCATGGTTGCTGCAGTTTCCATGGTTACTACTGGTGATTATTTACTTTATTAAAACCTTTATTAGCTGAATACAGAAATCAGAAACCTTTTTCCAGAGATGGTTTTATCTGAACTATTCAGACTGTGTGTTTGTTGTTTTGGTGTCTGTTTTTTTTCCCCCTGTTTTATTTGATATTATATTTTAATTATTTGCATAAGGTGTGTTGATTTATAAAAGGCCTTGGTTATATATGAGCCTCCTTTCTTTTCAGAATCACATCTTCTAATGGAGTCAGCAGAGGTCAGTGCTCTCTTTTTTCTGTAATAAATATCTAAAATGCGAGATGGCTATCACTAAATAGTGGCTACAGTCTTTGCTTGTGGTCTTCATCTGTCACCGCCCAAATGTCCTGTGGGATCTCCTTACCTATACACATGTCTAGCACCATAGAAGTAATAGCATATCGCACCACTTGAACTTTGAATTAGAACAATGGGAAGACGTCCATTTAAATTGTAATTCAGGTTTCTTTTGTCATTGTTTAATTTGGATTTTAATTTGATTCGATTAGTCAGTTTTTTTAAAGATAGTTGACAAATAGTTCTATTATAAAACAAATAATGTTTGTGCTTTCTCTTTGTTCTTTGGCCTTTAGCTTTGTGAGAATATGAAAACTGAGTTTTGCATGACTTCAGATGGGGGAACATCAGACTCCGTGAGATTTGTTATCCCTATCCCTGTGGATCAACAGAAGCCTGTAAAAAAAGAAGAACCTGAAGACGAAAGCTATGTCTGTAAGATGATAACAGTGTTGCTCAGTAAAACAAAGTGTGGCTCAGTAACCCCTTTTAATTTAACTATGCTTAATTTGTGACAGTAACACTCACTTGTTTGGGGTTTGTGGACTTTCAGATGGAGGGCCATCAAGCCTTGTGGAATGTATCATCACTACTGACCAACAGACTGGAGGATTCCAGAGGAAACCTATAAAAGAGGAAGAACCTGAAGATGATGAGTTCCTCTGTAAGACATCGTTGTGGAGTTGAATATGATCAAGCAGCCTAAATTGTGATTATTATTCCAACAATAATAACATTCTTATGTAAGACTTGTAAGACTTTGTTTATAAGAAATTTGTCATGGTAATCTGGTTTTCACTAATCATGCTGGTTTTCTTTTTTCCCCCACTTTGCTCACATTCTCTTTCCCCACACATTTCAGTAGCTGCACCCAAATATTAAATACTACTTGTAAGCTTCTTCTGTCTAAATGTGGCTTAAGAACTACAAAACCCATAAGTCCACATTTAGATCACATCATCTCACATCTGCCCACATGGGGTGCCGTGATCACTCGTTATTGATGGAAATACCTGGCCTTAACTCTTGTTGTATTCTAAAATTGTATTTATTTGGACTCAGGAATTTCCTTTGTTGTGTCTTTCTCATTCCAGACTGTGAGGACTGCAGATCCTACTTCATCAACAAGTGTGAGGTTCACGGTCCAGCTCTTTTCATCTCGGATACCCCTGTTCCCATGGGGATTGCTGACCGAGCCATACAAACCCTTCCACTCGGTCTAGAGGTTCGAAAGTCTGACATTCCTGATGCAGGCCTTGGGGTGTTTAATAAGGGGGAGACTATTCCACTTGGTGCACACTTTGGGCCCTATGAGGGAGACCTGGTGGACAGAGAAGAAGCCATGAATAGTGGCTATTCTTGGGTGGTGAGTTAGTTTTCTTAATACATATTTCATATTTGCACATGCCAGAATTACTATTTTATTTCTTCTTATTTTTAAGTTCTTCAAATATAAAATAACAGTGCATTAATATTTGCAGAGCATTTTTATTTTTTTAAATAGTTTGCTGCAGAGGGTGTGTGTACTTCTTTTCATTTAAAAAAAAAAAATCAACAAAATATATAATTTGGCCAGGGGTGCCCAAACTTTTGCATGCAAGTGTAAACTGTGTTTTTTCAGCCTGGAGGCACAAAAGAACCAAAGGTCTGGGTTGCCTCTTCTCCTCCAGTGACTTGTCCTTATATGAGCTTAACCTTATATATAGGACACTTTGAGGAGTGTGATGGATACAAGCAAATCTTTAGGTGTTTCATAATAAATTAGTAAAGTATAGACAATTCAGAAGGTAAAGTATAACCAGTTATCAAAAGTCCTATCATTTCATGCTGTCTACTACATCATTCAAAAACCAACTACAATGCATTATTGGTGTGCTGAGAAAGTCATTGTCTGTGGCTGTATGTCTCACTGAGATGCAGATGAATTCTACAGCAGTGATTCACCCATCAAAATTACTGTGAATTCCTGACAACCCAAATAATGTTTATTTAAAAGGTTTTCTCCCAGAAAGGGAACAAATATGAAAATTAAGCAATATCTTGTGAATGAATACATCCCATTGTGGAAGAAAAGCCCTTATTGTTATTACAGAACTATGTCTTTCTTTAATTTGCACAACATATTTACACACAAACACACAGGTTTATATATACAAAGTGCATTCAGAAAATATTCAGGCCACTTTTCCTCACATTACAGCTTCACACTAAAATGTACATTAATTTTTTTAGCATCTCTGTGATGGGGGGAAAAAGCAATTTGGTTTTCCACAAATTGTTATAAATTTGAGATGTTAAAATTTTTTTAAAGAAAAAAAAAATGTTTTAACACTAACCCTGCATCCAATTCCACAGATCATCCTTGATCACACCTGTGGTAAATTCAGTTGACAACCTTGTCAAAGACACACCTCTGTCTATATGAATCCCCATAGTTTACAGTTCATGTCAGAGCAAAATAACAATCCAAGGATTTTTCCGTAAACCTCTGAGACAAGATAGTGTTGAGACACTAGTGTAAGTTCTACAGCGTAGAGGTCTCACTGAACACTGTGGTTTAGGTAATTTTTTAAATGGAAGAAATTCTGAACCAACAGCACTCTTCCCAAAGCTGGCTAAAGTGAGAAAATAGAAGAAAAGGACTTTAGTCAGAGTAGTGACCAAGAACCTGAATGTCACTTTGATCAAACTTCAGAGGGTCTGTATAGAGGTGGGAGAACCTGACAGAAGTCCAAACATCTCTGCAGCACTCCAGCAATGAGGGCTTTATAGTAGAGGGTCCAGATAGAATCCCTCCTCAGTGAAAGGTACATGACAGCTCCTTTGATGTCCACAAAAACATCTAAAGGACTCTCATACAAAACATGACTTGGGATGGCAAACACAAACTGTGTGTCAGCCTAGAGGATGCCATCCACCAAAAGTCAGGCTGTTAGTCAGAAAAGCAACCATAAGGTCAGTGATGATTCTGAAGGAGCATATGAAACCCTGTTTGCAGTTTGTTAAAAGACATGTTGGAGACTCCACAAACATGTGGAAAAAGATTCTTTGGTCGACATCGTCATGTTGATAGTTACTTTGTCCTCTTGTTTGTTTCTTCTCTGACTGATGCCCTCTTACCCTTTACACACACACACACACACACAAATCTGAATGTTGGTGTACCCTGTGTACTTGTTACTGAGATCCCCTCTGCTGAGCAGCATGGCGAGTTAAGATATACTTGTTTTAAATATAGATGGCTCTTTTTGTTTTTTTAAGTACGGTTGTCTCAATCAACAGACCAGTTTCGCCTTCATACTCTTTTATAGAACTGTATTGTATGGTGTGTTATATTTGTTCTTGTATCCCTCTTTAATTTAATGGGATTTTGTAGTAAGTGTAATTGTCTAGTCCTCCAGTCCTGGGGAGTTCTAACACTACAGAGTTTAGTATTCTGCCTCATTTGCTGTTGTTCTTCTTTTGGCTGCTCCTGTTAGGGGTCGCCACAACGGATCATTGGTCCGCATATTTGATTTGGCACAGTTTTTAACGCCGGATGCCCTTCCTGACGCAATCCTCCCCAATTTTATATGGACTTGGGACCAGGGCTGGGAGTGTACTGTCATAAGGTTCCCTGTCTGGGAATCGAACCCGGGCCGTTGCGGGGAGAGCACCGTGGCCTAATCACTAGTCCTCCAGGGACCCCAGTAGTCTGCCTCATTTAATATACCTTATTAAGATGATCAACTAATTTATGAAAGACTTTAGAACATACATTTTTGGGTGTTCAAACTGATTATACAGGGCTTTGGCCCTCCAGGACCTGAGTTTTATACCTCTGGGTTTGTGTATATAACTCAAATGTATAATATATTATACATTCTTTTGTAGATATCCAGGAGCAGGCAGTGTGAGAAATACATAGATGGCCAGAGAGAGATGCATTCTAACTGGATGAGGTGAGGAATACACTGCAAGGCTGCTTGGGTATTTGTTTAGTTGTTGATTTTACAATTCACTAGTGGAAAACATTAGAAGGAGAGTAAATGAGGTATAATACAGATAATATGGAATACCACTCTTTTGCATGTCTGCCTGAAGACACATCTATTCTTGCCTCTAAGTAACACGATGTACCCCTCATCACCGCTGTCTTCCCTTAGTGCAGCATGTTGCTTTTCATCAAGCTATGACTATTGTGTAGAGTAACCTAGACTTATATCTCATTCTTGTCATTCAGCAAACAGTGGATATCTACATAATCTAACAGTCCCTTTCAGTCAAGTCACTCACTATAACATAGTATGGAATGCATACCCATGCCCCATACAGCTGTGTACTCACAGAGGGGCACCTAAGAACATGAAGTGAGCCACAGATGTAGTCAAAATGATCAGCACTAAAAATGCACAGATGTATGAGGGGAGGCCCAAGAGGTTGCCAAACAAACATCTGCCACAGACTTCATCTTGAACAGAGCCCAAGATGTAGTCACCTCTTGTTGAACACTTTGCTAGGTATTGACTGCTGCCGTATGCTGGGAAAATGGCCTCCACAATGTAGGGGTAGAATTAACTGTTTGAATGAATTCACAAAACAGAACGTGAATACAGAATAAATGCAGGCTTCCATGCTTCCAGAAATCAAGTGGAGGAGAATACAAGGACCTAATCCCAAATGGCAGTGAATTCTAGTTTTCGGTTAAACTTTTAGGCAACTTTAGACAGCACTAAAGTGCAGTGTTGCCTGAGAATCACTGAGTATCACCTGACCAAGCACACCCATATGTGCTTGTTGAACATTCTATTGCAGATGTAGTCCCCCTTTGCTGTTATAATAACCTTCACTCTACTGGGAAGGCTTCCCACTTGATTTTCTAATGTTGCTGTTGGGATTTGTGCTCATTCAGCCACAAGAGCATTAGTGAAGTCAGGCACTGATGTCAGGAAGGCTGGCATGTAGATTGTGTTCCAGTTCATGCCAAAGGTGTTCAGTGGGATTGAAGTCATAGCTCTTTACAGGCCACTCAAGTTCTTCCATACCACCCTTGGCAAACCATGTCTTTATGGAGCTTGCACAGGGGCATTGTCATGCTGGAACAGATTTGGGCCTCTTAGTTCTAGTGAAGGGAAATCTTAAAGCTACAGCAAAAAAAGACATTCTAGACAATACTGTGCTTCCAACTTTGTGGCAACAGTTTGGGAAAGAGCCACACATGGCTGTGATGGTAAGGTGTCCGCATACTTTTGGCCATGTAGTGTACCTCAACGATTCTGGAAATAAGAGTCCTCCTCTTCTACTGTTGCTTGCCTGAAGATATATTAACTAACATCACATGTTTGAGAGCAGCCGGTGACAAACACACATGGGTCAGGTTCCATTATGGCTCTTGTTGCATGGACCATTGTAGTGCCCTCCAGGCAGGCATTGTGATGAGGGAACTGACTCAAAGGGAGACATTCTTTCCCCTGCTATGAACTGATCTCTCCTTCTCTCTTACTTCACATTCCTTTACCATCCTTTGTTCACTGTCGGTCTCTTTATTTTCCAGGTATGTGAATTGTGCTCGTAATGAAGAAGAACAGAATCTTGTGGCATTCCAGTATCAAGGAGGCATCCTCTACTGTTGCTGTCAACCCATCAAAACAGGACAAGAGCTCTTGATGTGGTACAAAGATGACTATGGCAAAGACCTTGGCCTTGCATTCGACTACCTCTGGAAGAAAAAGTGCTCCTCAAATGGTTATGTACAACCCTGATTTATAGAATTATCCATTACCCTCAGCCCACAGTGGCTATTATATATGAATACTTCTAACAATGTTTACTCTGACATAGGCAATCCTCAACTCTTAGACCAGGCAGTAATATACTCAAAGCTGTGCAAATTGCTCTCAAGCTCTGAATTTTCTGCCTTGCAGAACATAACTGACCCATGATAGATCGTGGCATAATTATATTCCTGAGACAGGAAGAGATGGGAGACATGCTGAAACAGGGGCTCTGCTCTCTGATAGGTATTAGGCAGACCTGAAAGTGGGATTACACAACATGTTTTAGAGAACTGCCAGTATAGTGATCTTCTGTCAGACTGTGGGAAGTTAGTAATGAAATTCACTGAGAGGTGAGTTCAGGGCCTGTAGGATACCAGTAGGGGTTCCAGTTTACCTAGTGGTAGCAGTCTAGGGGTCTTGGACTAAGCACATACACAGAAAAAGACATGACAAATCTTTTATACATTCCAGTGGAAACTAGGCCATCAATAGCAATCTGATAGGCTGGGCTGTTATGGCAACCCATGTAATGAGCTTACCTCTAAATGGTCCTAGGACATGTCTCTTCTCAGGAGGTTTGTCACTTCATGTGGCATCACCTGCTGCTGGTTTGGATCATCACTCTATTGATTAATGTCCCAGAGGTCAGGAGCAGGTGGGCTTGAGATAGGTCAAATGTTGCTGGATCATGAGCTCAGCACAGGGTGTTGACTTCTTGCATCTGGGTCTGTAAGAACTAGTGAAGGGGAAACCCAGCAGATGTATTCCAGGTTCCAGCGATCAGTTTGATCACATGGCTTTACCAGTTAGGTTTTTTGTAAAAATATACTATCAGACAACACCAGCATAATTCACTCAGGAGAGAAGCCACACGTGGGAAGAGGTTTAATCAACAGCGCAATCTTCAAAAACATCAGAGCATTCATACCAAAGACTGTATACATATAGGTGCATGTCATAACAGATGTTTAAAAGTGAAGGCAAAATGTCTCCGAGGCCCTGTAGTGGCTGGCTGCAGTACAGTTTTTAACCTTTCCCATTCCCATGTAAGTGAAAGGAAAACAAGCCAAACTTGCATTTTAATTTACATGTTCACAAATTATTTTTGGGAGTTCTTTGCAGTTTTTCCAGTATGTGATGCTTATTCTAGCTTATTAATTAGCTAAATAGGTTGACACTGCACAGACTCTGGCTCCAATTTTCACCTACTGCACAGACTCACTCAAGATGATGACTTTCAATTTGACCAAATTTAGGCTTCAAAACCGCACAATGGGAGTCAATGGCCCCATGTAGTCCACTAATATATTCAGTCAATTATTAATACAGAAGTGAAGACATTTCACTGCTTGGGATGAGTTTTGCTTACCAGAATAATCTCAGAACATGCAAGCACATTCGCACAGGAGAAAAGCTGTGTCAGTGCTCATAGTGTGGATGGAGATTCAGTTATTTAAGTACATTTAAGAAACACAAGTGCAACACCATAGAGCAGTCAACTTGTGCCACATTATCTTCAAATCCAGAAATATATATCCTTAAATTCAAATCCAGAAATTATATATTGTATATCTGAACTACTGTATTATTGTCTGTTTCTGCTTTGACAGGTTGACGGCTCCCCGCAGCATTGAATAGTGTATGTATTAGTTCAGGATGGGGAACAGATATGACCACGATAGTCTCAGTGACTTTGATCTTTACTGAACTTTAATATTGACTTGCATGATTATGTACTGCGTGGAGGAATTAATGTACTGTGCATTTTCCCATCATCGTCGTTTGCCACGAAATAAATAACAGTTAAAAAAAAAAAAGTACTGAATGGCCATTTGATTGAAAACAAAAGGGTGGGCTTTTGCACAGTACTGTATATATCATGAAGTATTTATATATTTAGTCCACTGCAAGTGACTGGCCTCCCGTTCTGGGTGTATTCCAGCCATAGACCCAGTGTTCCCAGAATAGGATCCAAATCCATTGTAACCCTGACCAGCATAAAGTGGTTACTGAAGATGAATGATTAAATGAATATGTAATCCGTAGGAAGTTATTACTTCTGGATATTGACCTTGAGTAAAATCCTTTTTTTTGCAGTAGCCTAATGTTGCCAGCAGAGGTCATTTGCATTGCAAACTGTTTTCAAAACAAAAGGATTTAACACATATAAAAATGTTTATAAAAAAATAATTCTACACTTAACAGAAATTGTAATACTTTTACAGACTATCATGACAGTGGTAAAAATATGTGGCAGTTTCTAAAATAAGTTAAAACAGTTTGTTTCTCATTAAGTTACTAATACTTTTTATTTTTTTATGCTCCAGAAATGAATGATGCCCTGCTGCAACTTTTCTACTGCTCCTGGTGTCCGCTTTCCTACACATCTCAGTTTTATCTTGACAATCACATAAGGAGAAGCCACTCTGAGGAAAATATGAGACTGCTGATATCAAGTGAAATTAAAAATGACGATGTGATGCCCACAAGAAGCTCCACTGTTCAGCAAACATGGTCTGATACTCTCCACAATAACATCACTCATGGACAAATGCAGAAAGAACTGTATCACTGCTCGAAATGTGGGAAGGATTTTATTTCTGTCTATAATCTCAGTAAGCACCAGTGTGTCCACACAAGAGAAAAGCCATTTCCATGCACACAGTGTGGAAAGACTTTCACCTACCAGCGTAATCTCGGACAGCATCAGCGCATTCACACAGGAGAGAAGCCGTATCGCTGCTCGCAGTGTGGGAAGAGTTTTAATAACGGGAGTAATTACAGACAACACCAGCGCATTCACACGGGAGAGAAGCCGTACCACTGCTCACAGTGTGGAAAGAGTTTTACTAACCAGTGTCATCTCCGACAGCATCAGCACATTCACACAGGAGAGAAGCCGTACCACTGCTCACAGTGTGGGAAGAG